TGTATTATTTGGGGATGGGAAGTTGGATAAATGGATACATTATGGGTTTATTATTTTGGGATGGGTAGTTGCATAAACTGATACACGATGGATCTATTATTTGGGGATGGGTAGTTGGATAAATGGATACAAAATGGATGTATTATTTGGGGATGGGTAGTTGGATAAATGGATACAATATGGGTGTATTATTCGGGGATGGGTAGTTGCATAAACTGATACACGATGGATGTATTATTTGGGGATGGGAAGTTGGATAAATGGATACATTATGGGTTTATTATTTTGGGATTGGTAGTTGCATAAACTGATACACGATGGATCTATTATTTGGGGATGGGTAGTTGGATAAATGGATACAAAATGGATGTATTATTTGGGGATGGGTAGTTGGATAAATGGATACAAAATGGATGTATTATTTGGGGATGGGTAGTTGGATAAATGGATACAATATGGGTGTATTATTTGGGGATGGGTAGTTGCATAAACTGATACACGATGGATGTATTATTTGGGGATGGGTAGTTGGATAAATGGATACATTATGGGTGTATTATTTGGGGATGGGTAGTTGCATAAACTGATACACGATGGATGTATTATTTATGGGATGGGTGGTTGCATAAACTGATGCACGATGGATGTATTATTTGGGGATGGGTAGTTGGATAAATGGATACATTATGGGTGTATTATTTGGGGATGGGTAGTTGCATAAACTGATACACGATAGATGTATTATTTGGGGATGGGTAGTTATATAAATGGATACAATATGGGTGTATTATTTGGGGATGGGTAGTTATATAAATGGATACAAGATGGTTGTATCATCTGGGGCTGGATTGTGGGAATATAGATACAGAGATACACTGATACACCGACAGCGAAGACACCTTGTAACAATCACGTGTGTGTGTGTGTTATCAGCAAGGCACTTTCCGGGCTTTAAATGCCACGCCATTCTTAGCTGGAGATGACATGTGTATTTCAGGTTAGACGTTCTCAATTTGATTTTATTCTGATCGGTGGCCAATTACCATTCATCACGAATGTAAACTGCTCGCACAGAAATGTCAAGGTTCAGGCCAAACTTGACATCCCCTGCTTATTCCCTATGGCGGCATTGTGGAGAGATTACAGAGGTCTTGTCCACGAAATACCAGCTTATTTGGAGAGAAATACTCTAGATGTTGAACTAAGACAAATTAAAGTCGTTGACTGAATGGAAATCGAGCTTGTTCCAGAGACGATCGATTGCAGCTGAGAGAGGACTTTTCTTACACCTTTTGTCAAAAGAAAATGGAACTGTTTGTTTCATTATCAGTTGCCGCGGAGGGGTTTGTTGCCCGACCTCCTCGTCTTACGTCAGAGTAATGCTGTCTTTAAGAGTATTGTATTCGTAGGTTGGTCGTTTGTCTATATGTCTTGTCTGTTTGTCTTGTTACTTGTCGAAAGTCGATAATATTATAATATATATATATTACGGCGGCCTGTAAATCATGGAATCTGGAACAGACAACCAAATGAGTGACATCGATCTACGGCATCATGCCATCAACTGTCTGATGAAGGCTGTGACAATGTGAAGGGCGTTATTGTAGGTGTTTCTCATTAATGGTGTCCATTTGCAAATATGTTTTAGGTAATTGAATTGTGTGTTATTCTGATATGGGTATATATGGAACTTTCCATTTAAGCCTCTTGGGGCGGTGGGGTAGCCTAGTGGTAATGAAGAGCCGGGTTCGATTCCCAACATGGGTACAATGTGTGAAGCCCATTTCTGGTGTCCCCCGCCGTGATATTGCTCGAATATTGCTAAAAGCGGCGTAAAACTGAACTCACTCACTCACCCTGAGCATCTTTGTCGTTATGCTTACTGTAACAGTTACGTATAACACAATACGTGTGTGACCTGTAACAAATAACGTAATGTTTATCGTAACAGGCACGTATCATACTATACGAAGATCCAGTTACACTACATGACGCAACACGTGCTGCAGTAACAGATAGCCTTGTGGTTAAAGAGTTCGCTCGTCACGCCGAATACCCGGGTTCGATTCCTAACATGGGTACAGTGTGTGAAGCCCATTTTTGGTGTCTTCCGCCGTGATATTGCTGGAATATTGCTAAAAGCGGCGTAAAACTAAACTCAGTCATACCAACGTAACACGTGTGTACACATGACATGCGTTTTCTATCCCTCCCCCCCACCCCTCACGCCCCTCCCCAGCCCATTCCTTGTGTTTATTGCTACGCCTCCGTGGACATTTACAGACACATGAAACGTAACAACTTCTCACAAATAACCACCACCATTCCCTCACTAATTACATTCATCACAAGCAGAGGTTAGTGGTGTGCCGAGCCGGTAGCGTTTTCGGCATCACAGTCTCACAGTAATAACTCGTCCACATTAGCAGCGCTTGATTAAGAAGTCTGTTCAAACACAAATGTCAAAGGTATCCTCTATGGCTTGCTTGATAAATACCAGCCCGTCACAGTGTGTAAAAAGTGTCTTTGTGCCAACGGCTGATCTCTAAGCTATTTCCACAGCATGAACCAATGCATTGACATCTTTTCATTGGCAACATCAAAGGACAGTTATTATTTGAATATTCCAAAACGACTTTTAAATCCTATCAACCTGCCTCGCTGACTTTTTATGGAGCCGGCTCTCGATTAATTGCCCGATACTCCAAGGTTAAAATAACAGAGCCTTTCAGTCAAAGCTGATCACTATTACGATAGAGTCAGAAGGGATGTAGCTTTGCATGGACCATTAAAAATAGGACTGGAGTATTAATAACATCACTGGCTTATTTATCTGATGCGTTTTGATAAATCTTAGGGCCACTGATGTGTCTGTGATTGTGAATAACCCAATAAAAAGAGTAATGTGAACTGGGGTTTTAATGGTGATTGAGAAAATTGTTTACGAGAGCTCTGAGTATGATATGCCAAGCGTGATAAGAGAGTAGATCTCGTTAATGTATCTGATGTTCGACTGCGTAATTATAACAACAGTGCTCTTGTAATCTGTTCCAGTTATCGATTTTATGAAAAGGAAATGTTTTCATAAATCTCTCAATGGATCTGTTGTCCATATCAAAGCACAAACAGCGACATCAACTTCAGGGTTATTTTAAGTTTGTATCACATGTAGAATTTCGACAGTCGCAGTTCTATGATCGATGTTGGGGATCATATATTCTGATGATGCTTCTAATCAGTTGATATCAGTTCTCATTTGATATCACTTGATATCATTTGATCTGATACATATGGTATGGATCTTTAATACAGATCCGCTGAAGCATTAAACACAACTGGTACGCTTTCCACTGTTAACGCATCCCATTTCATGACGTCAAATCCATCGGGAAACACTATAAAAATGTAGGCCGTTGCTCGATAGTCAACACGAGCCACCCAGTCGATCGGTCAGCGTGTCCAAGTCGATGGTCAGTCCAGACGATTGGCGGCATTTGCTTGTAGATGGCTGTGTCCATTCACTGAGTTGTCTGGAACAACATACAAACGCCTTCGCGTAGGCGGTGACATTTAAACTCTCTGCCGCACCGCTTTATATTCGTGGTAATCGATTTGTTTTTCCCAATCCTTATACTTGAAGCAGATGGATCAGAATCGGCCAACTCTCAAAGAAACCAGCTGCGTTGCATTGTTTTTGAGGTTGAAGGATCTTGCAATGTCATACCATAGCTTGCATTGTGTAATTCAAAGGCCAGACTTGACTGACGTTAAATGTCATCGAAATTGAACAGACAGTATTTCAGTTACGCTTTTAGGGCTGGATTGTTACTGGCCTTAATATTCGCGAATGCACGATTTCATGTCTCATGTGAATATTTTTCTCTCTAGGATCGATGAGATGCATGACTTTATGTGTCGAGGGGGATATTTGTTTCAAGAAAAATGAGACATATGTACATATGTACAATTGGTACATTTCTCTCAACGATTGTATGTCATGCATGATTGTATGGCTTTACATTTCTGTCAACCAACGGATGTCATAAATGTTCTCATATCTGATTGTTGAATGAATATGTGTCTAATAAGTAGATTCTGATGCAATGGATATTTAACGACATAACCTTACTCCAGCAAAATGTTAATTACACGGCTGAGACACCAGGTGTCAATCATCACATGTCGAGGTATAATGTACATGACTACTTTTATTTTCAAAATTATATTTCGTCCAATTTCTCACGGCTTGTACATATCAGCGGAGTGCAATTACCACTGGTTACCGTCACTGAGAGAGGGGAGCTTGAATAACAATGTCGTCTTAAAAAACCCTACAATTCTAGTTGGAAATGGCATGTACTTCATTCCCCAGGGCTTCGAGCAAGGACATTTGAGAGACCAATGGCGACTTATAAATATGTTTGTGAGTGTGAACGCGAGAATCGTCATTAAAAATAAGACTTTGGGAACAAATGCCCCGGGCACTGAATTGTTAGAAAGTTTTTGGTGAACAAAAACTCAGAACTAATTCAAGTTGTAATGAGTTGCTTGTCGGCCTCATGGCATTTCCAATTATGCGGACCTTGGTTTGAAAACCAAATTAACTCCGGTTTGAGTGCGAAAGCGTTCACATGCCTTTGGACTTAAAAGCGCCATATTTCTTTAATATGAACTATCTTGCTTAGAATCTATAGAAACCACTGCATTACCTCCCTTTTCTGCTATCAGAGGAATTTTTCAATCATTATTTTGCACAGATATGCCGCTCCTTTAATCATGTCTAATGGTCGCATAGTTTACTTGCTACTTTGACCTTGACTTTCCCTGTTAATCGTGTTGACGTTTTATTAAATCCATGAATGTTCATGTAATGGTAACCGCAGCCAATGTATTTCTATCAATGCCTTGTTATGGTGTGTGTGTGTGTGACCCACTCAGGGACCTGATGACCTGTGACCTTCTGTGTAACGTATTCTAAGTAGAATTTCCTATCTTTTCAGGTTATGCGTTCTCGAGCGGAGGAAATGAGTAGGAACATAGAATTAGGCATGTCGGACGATATAGCGAGTGAAGATTCCCTTTGGGGCATAACCAGCTTAAAGAACCAGGACTTTGACATGCGCAAACGTGGCACAAAGAGAGACAACCCCAGCTCGCCATCAGATTCCGGAAGTTCTACCAATGAGGAGATAGCGGAGAAGAAGCCGAGGAACACACGCAAAGCAGCACGGAGGAAAAAGGGAGTGAGTGCCCGTGAAAGAAACCTTCGTCGTCTTGAGAGTAATGAACGGGAACGGATGAGGATGCATAGTCTCAATGATGCATTCGGGGAACTCCGGGAGGTCATTCCTCACGTCCGTCTTGACCGGAAACTGTCGAAAATTGAAACGCTGACTTTAGCGAAGAATTACATCAAGGCTCTTACTAATGTAATTTGTGAAATGCGTGGAGAAAATCGCCCGTTCACATTCGAGGAGACGGGGGTTGAGAGTAAGTTTAATGATCTTGAGTATGAGGATGAAGACGACAACATGAGTAGTGTAAACAGTGCATCCGGTAAAACACGGTCATGTAACGAGCTGGACACTGAGCCCATGCAGGGCCTGGATGGCGATGTTGACGTCTCAGACAATGGCAATTCGCATGAACTACAGGAAGACGATGAGCTAGAAAACGTCCACTTTCCTGTCACACAAGTTTAAACTATCATCATCTAAGTGATCGGCCAGTGCCATCGGCCGAACAAGCTCATCCGACATTGTGACTCTTCCAAATAAATCCTTTTCAAATCTGCTGGAGTACCTCTTTGTGAAAATCAAATGAGATCATCACGTGCTGGAGACAAACTGCAAGGGAGCTTCACGGTCCACAAAATATCTAACAAGAGCATCGCGTTTTGTATAAAATATGACGCGAGAGCATCATGTTAGTGAAAAATCAAACGGAGCAATACCTTACCTAGACTCTATCGTGTTACTCATGACTTGAACTACACAGCATAAAGGTAAGAGGTGCCAGATGAGCTGCGATGTGGCCTCCATCACAATGTGGACTCAATTCAAAATGGACAAAGCCTTTATTTTGAAACAAGAAGATCATTGTTCAGATTATTTTCAAATACGCTAGTGTACATTTATCGATGGATATTGTTTTGACCAATTGTTATTTTCAGATAAGACGATTGTAAGTATTCTTTTTGTCTGTCTGGGAACGGGCCACAGTTATATTAGAGGAAATGTGAATTTAGAAATGCCTTTCAAAATGCATGCATTTCAGTCATGTTTGTAGCTTACGCTTTTCATCAATAGAATTTTAATCATACAATCTCCCATCATTCCATCAGTATCACCTCATTTTGATATGCCTGGGTCATAATTGACAAAAGAAGTCATTTATTTTTTCAGCATATTTTCAGATTACATTTCAGTGTATAAGAGTGGGTTAGGATCCAATGTTGTGTATATTTGAAACTGACAACTGTTGTACATTTTCAATACTCATGTTTGTAAGATAATTATTAGATTACCTTGTAGTATTGCCATCATGATGACTTCTGTCGTTCTAACTCTTCGACTCTCGTTCTTTCAGCAATGAGTACATGTTCACAAATACAGGTCATATAACTTATTTCCATTATAAAATAATGTATACGACACTGACCGAAGGGAGCTAACTCTGCTCACATCTGGTGCCCCTATACTATTGTTATCATTGAACTTGGTGTCTAATCCAATCAGATGGATATATTTATTGATTCTATTCTTTTATTCAATAAAACGAAACTATTTTGTTAAAGTGTCGTCTTAGAGTCGTTGTATAAGGCCACAAAAAGTGGACATGATTCCACAAATAAGGAATTATTTTACTATTATCTTTATTCCGAAGACTTTTATATATTCTCACTTCATTTGTTGATATCCCTTAAACTGGTGGATTATCAATGATTAAATCATATTGTGTTTAAGGCTTATCCTATGTGCTGAGGTGTGTTCTAGTCTTTGTACAGTACAAGATACCAATACCTGGTCAAAAATACACAACCTAAAAAAGGAATGAGGAGAATTAAAAAACTAACTACCGTATTTGTTGTGGTCTAATCAAATTTGTTCCAAACTGCTGAACCGGCTTTCAGCCCAACTCGAATGTCTTGCATAACAACAGGACGCTAGTGCAAGTAATTTTGGCTCACCTTTGGATTTTGAAACAACGTGTTATTTCCTCGTGTTGATACACTGAAGAACCACATTCCGATAAGCCACGAGGTCATTAAGGTCACAAAATCAATAACATGCAATCTGATGGGCTATAAAAACGTCCTCGACAGACTGTATTCAATTTCGAGGTAGGGACAGCCATCTCGAGCATACTGGGCAAGGTTTCCGCCAAGAGACTTTTCTCACGGTTTTTAACTCTCTTCAATTTCTGATATGCTGGAAACAATGCCAGTGTGTATGAAGCCAAAAGAGTCTACGCTTTCAAGCTTCTTAACAAATATTGATTCGGTAAAACCATGCACGTTATTTACTTTGATCATCAAAGTTATATTTGTTTTTTTAATTTTCTTTGAACAGAAACCTATGTCTCAATATCCGCTCATCTCTAATCTGATATAGTGTACTAATTTCAGCCCTGGAACTCTTTTAAGATTATTATCCAGACTTCCCCACGCTCTGGTAACGAAGTAAAATGTCGCGCCTAATCATGTCTACTGACTGTGGAACTAAGTTCTCATTAAACATAATTAGCTTCACTTTTCTCAAAGAAGAAAGACACAATGTTTCAGGATGAAAGGTGAAAAACGATCGTTCGTCCCATAGCAATACGAAATTTTCTTATTAGGATTCAGTATTTTTTAAATATTCTTCCGAACGAAACTAATCAGTGTTTGTAATTTCCAGTAATCTTCCCAGTACTATATTCCCGCAGGCTTAGGTTCCATCGTACTGTGACAAATTAAAGGACAAATTCAGAAAGTACTGCACAAACCGTCCTGAAACAACTCCAAGGTCACAGAATCTAATAACACATTTCACTGCAAGACAAGATATGTCCCTTTTAATATAGAACCTGTCGTGTCTTAAGTCGTTCCGGCGTTTTAGTAGACTACCATAGGTAAAAGCTTAATCATGTTGCCAAGTCGCACGCATGACTCTTCGAGGACTATATCTACATGCTATTACCCACACAACAACCTTAACTTCTTTACATAGCCATTGTACGTCAGACGTAAAGAAGTAACTTCTAATTGGTTTGTCGACGTCGTCGCAACAATCTCAACGACTTAAAACGGCGGCAAATGCGAATTTATTGACTATAACTGCCAGACTCTTGCCCAAACACACACGGTCCTCAATATTGCGCTTGTTGATAAGGCCCAAAACAATTTTCATAGTGACTCGTAAGCCGATGAAGGATACTTAGGATGAACGGCATGGCTTGATGATCGAACGTGTTGTCCAAACGCGACCTACTCGAATGAAACATGCAAATTTACGCTTATTAAGAACTCCACTCAGCGACTCTCGTTTGATATGCTCGATGAGTCCTCGAAAGGAAGGGAAATTTGCTTTAACAAATCCTACGCAAAATTCAATACCGGATCGATAGAGTTATTACAAATAGACATGCAATAAGGTGGCTTGTAATTCAGTGAAAGCGACCTATTCTCTCACTCATCCGCTACACGACAATGCCGAGCGTGTCTCGTTCGTTAAGAAGCCGATATGCTTCCATTCTGCTATAAATACCCGGATTGTAATTTATGGTGCTATTGTCAGTAATTGCATGATTAACAAAAACCATACAAAATTCCTGAGATGAAAGGCACTCCATCAGCATGGCGACGAATTACGAATTCACTTTACCATGCTGGCGTATTGGCGACCAAATCGTTTACCATCTGACAACGAACTTGTAGCGCCGTTTATAGGATTTGGAACGTTGGATCCATCCTGCCAGCGTCTACCTTGTGACGTAAAACGCCAAGCCTTCTCATGTCCTAGGTGTGTCCTGTTACACTGAGGTTCGCGGGAAGCCAAGGGATTTGGGGTCATGACTTTGTCCGCTACAGATTGTCATGGGACTTCTCTGGCCGTTCAGCCTCCCTAGTGTTTATTCTAGTTCTCGGTGTCTATTGCGTAAAGATCATTGATTCGACCAGTACCGCGGTTACCATTCTTCCCCTGATTCTATGCCATGGCATGATTAGATTTCATAAAAACCATCAGGAGAAATTAGATCTATCGAACCATACACTATCCAACCAATGGAGTTTATTCCTTGCGAATATAATTCAGTTTTAGCATGAAAGTCAATATTCAGAACCTGAGCATTATCAGTTCTTTATGGAGCTGGCCAGTTCGTACCAGTTTTCATGTCCCAAGGAGTCATTGTTTGTCAAATCTAATTCAGAAATATCAAATGTGATTCGTTATTTAAGAATAATGCGTCTAAATGAAAGTTCTTCTGACACACCCACGACTTTTTAGATACTGCAAGACGAGTGTGTTTTTAAGAAGATCCCCAAAGATTAAAAGTAATTCTCTTCCCAATAGTACCCATGCGCATATAATAGAATATTCTGCCAGACTTCGGTAATGACCAGCGTCCAGCATGGTCAATATCAATTAGTTCGGTGACTACGCTTACCCAGAGAACCCGATGACCACACCATAGTTCTAGACCACTAGTGGCCATCCTAATACTAGAGCATCGCTGTCATAAAGTATAGCTAGCGCTAAGAGATGACGGCCAGTTTCCGTAATATTGATTGTCTGCTGGTTGGGATGGCAGCTCCCTACAAGATCCCGTTATAGGGGAAATACACATGCCATCTGCCTCCGTAGCAATACGTTTAATAGAGATATTCGATTGATGTTTTGGCTTGTAATAAAATAGTGTTCCTCATCTTGACTGTTAAAAACCGTGCGTGGGCAGTGGCCTCCTAAATAGAATTTGTCCCCAAAAAACGATTAATCGAACTAAGTGTAAAGGTTTCGATTTGTTGTCTCCAAAACATGATTTGTGATCTTCACCAACAAACTCAAGAACATTTCTAGATGGCCATACTGGTGTATGTTTGTGTAAAATAAATAGATTTTTTTGGTTTAGTCCATTTCGTGAACTTTCCTCTTTGATTGAATTTTGATAGACATTCACCCGAAATCGAGCTGTTTTTATTACCTGGAAACACTTTTTGAAGTGTCTATTTCTATTTTAGGCGCCGGCAAACTAGCACTTAAACCATTAATGTTTTTCGCAGATTCCTGAGATCTTCCATGTTCTCTTATTTATGTTTCTTGGATTTAAAAAAATCTAAAAGTGTGTAAATCAGTAATTGACAGAGTGAAAGACATCTTCCCCTGTAGGGAAGCTATTTCTCCTCGAGCAAGCGTAGAGTTCAATTATTAGTTTAACGTGTTCGTAAGCGCTCTCCTTTATTTCAAGTATGGACACGTGGGTGCGGCTCCATTAATCGATAGGAAAATGGTTGATCTTTAGCCAGGCCCAACCTTCCAACCCACTGGGTAAATATTACTGTGTGTAGGATGCGAAAATGACATAGCTCTTCTCCAATTTGTTCTAATTTGCCGAGTTCGATTCCCTTCCGCATTGTCCATATCGTGTTTCCCAAGCAATGGTAATTAGCTGTGATGACCATGAATCGGAAATTAGTGCGGATTTTAATTACATGCCGACTCTCTGTCGTGTGAAGGCTTCACAATTACCACAAAGGAATTCCACCGCACCTGGTATAGGTTATTCCAGCGTTACGTTCGCTGACAATTGTGACGCATTATGAACGAGATAAATACATTTTCATAGGACTTTTAATAACACATTGACCATTGTTGCCTATCGGCTCTATGTAACAGTTAAATGATGTTGTCATAGAAACGGCTCAAAATAACCTAAGCAATCTGTTTCAAGTAACAAACCATTGTTGGGACAATCAGTAATATATCAGAAGTATTTTTATCCATCCCTACTAGGAAATGGCTTTGTAGAAATAGTACATGAATGAATTCAAATGATTGAAACAGCATAGATGCAATCTACAGTGTAGTTGTTTTAATTAGTACCTTGTTTATGGAAGGAATGCTGAAGGCGAAGTTACTTGTCGATTGTGCAATATCGAGTCCTTCATAACAACATAGCTGATATCATAATGACACTTACGTTAATGTAACATTTCACATTCACAACTTCCAATACTGATGCACCAATTATGGATTAGGAAGTAGCTACAGCGCCAGAACTTGTGTTTATTTCAGAATACGCTGTTGTGGCGGCAGTAGGCAGCGGCATAATTACGCGTTATTTACAACAATTTTGCTCTAATTACACACCGACCAAATTGGCGTCATTTACCCAGCAGTAAGATACAACAGCTCCAAAGGTCACTTTGCTTGTTGGAAAATCCAGTGTTTATTACTGTTGCTTACACGCTCCTGCGGGGGTGATTTAGTGTTTGGCAAACTGATGGCAACATTACTAGTTGACTGTCAATGGTGTACATTTTGAACAATGGTATTTTTAACCTGTGAATACCTTCAACGTTTATATGCGTAGGGTTCAAATTGGATTTGTGTCAATGGTATAAATCTGGTCATTTTTGATCAAGCATGACCTCTGGTATTTCACGACTATTTATTCATGTTTATATGTTGAAATAAACCTGCCCACGCTGTTGTTATCCTCAAAGCTGAAACGCATTAACGACAAATCAGGCCGGATGAGACTGATGAGATTTAATATCTGCCATTTGGATACTTTGAGCTGATGATGGTTTACTGATGAAATCATGATAAACGTTAACGTTGTAATTTGGTTGATATTATTCACATGGTTTCAAAACAAGTAAGGGGGTGAGAACAGTACAGTACAAGATAAAACCTGACACCTCAATGCACCCCATTGCCCATCCCCTCCACGCATCACCCTTGTTACACCCCCATTGATATATGGCGTCCCTGACACTCGTTACCCAGACTTCATCCGCATGAACACCACGTTACCTGAAGATGTTAATTACATTTTTCATACATTTGTTTTGATAGTTGTTTGATACTGTTAGATATCAGGTCTACAAAACGTGTACGGAGTCAGTGTCGTATACATTTCCCTGTACATCCTGACACCCCCATTTTTAATATTGGTCGATCCCGTTCTTTGATGTTAATACTGCCATTATTAAAATATGGGGAGGATGTTTAATGTCACCTCCCATTACTGTGCCTGAAATTGATTTCTTTTATTGACACTTGTTTTGTTTGAAGATGTTTAAAATACATTATATTTTCTTGTTGTACATTGCAGTTATGCTGATGTTGATATGTTTCCGATAAGAGGTATATTTCATTGATTTCGTGATTAATTTCAATCATCCATTGGCACATGTTTATCAGCGTCATCTGATATCCATTCAAACATTTCAAGAGACTTACACTGAAGTTGGATTACATCGGTGAAATATTCCTCTGTTTCTAAAGAAATACATAAAAAGAGCAAATCTGACCAAAACAGCGTGACACATTCCAAAAGAACGCCTGTGTAATTGACATTATTTTGTGCATTGACATGAATGTGTGATATTTAAGAACTATTTTTGTACGATTCAAAGAAGGTGCAAACAGTCTTCCGATTGGCTGTAGATCACGTGTGCAATTCATCCATCTCCATCTACGCATGCGCTTCTCACATCATCAGTTAACTCAACCTCGGGCTTTTCCGGACTGTGCGCAATCATCAATTAGCATATTGAATATTTTCGCAGCAAGCAACTTTATTTTGATAAACAAATTAATCAATGATGCTGAATATTGAACATATTTTGAGCTTGACGTGACGGAATCATCCGGAAACACCCGAAGTTGATAGTAGGTCAGTGATGAACGATTAATACACATGTCCAATTCGCATTATATGATAGTGGTTGTGTGACAGAATGAATGGAAGACTAAAACTGGGACTCGTAATCCCTACCAGATAACAAAGGAAGGTGAGGCAAGAGTGTATTGCCCGAGTACTAGCAAATGTTTATCAAAATAATTCTCCCAGGCCAAAAAGCCATTGCTTTGAATGTCGTGACTACAACCATTGAAACACTATGCCGCACCTGTTGGTGAAATCTCAGTGGTATTGGGGCCACGAGGACCTTGAGATTTCACATAAAACTAGGTCAGTATTCAAATGATAAAATATTCGCAAACCACAATTGTTGATCAGGGGACCGACCAATCGTCGGTTTACATACTATACTGCTGTGTGACTGCAAACAATTCTTTGTTACCTTGTATGTAAGTAAGAGAATTTAGGTCAAGTGAACGTACTTTTATTGATAACCATATATCAGAGTTTTAATTATCCTGGTGTGCTTGTTTGAAGTCAAGCATAAGCTAACAAAAACAAAACTTGAAATTTAACGAACCGTGATTTGAACAAAAGTATTTCTTCCGAAAAGAATATTAATATCAACAGTATCAAAAGATTGTCTGGATTCTGGCTTGTTATATGCACAAGTTGATATAATACGTGGTGTGAATGCTGTTTGACAGAAACCGTGTACATTGCAAATACGCTATAATATATTTCATGTCTGTTATAATGTGTAAATGCGATTTTTGTCAGATATAGATTCCAGTGTTGTTAATATCTTACTTCCATCATCACTGCATCCCCTATCACTGTTATAAATCTCGTCTAATTGTTTACTGAGTGATCTATGAGTGTATTTTCCGGAGCCCGACTTTATCCCTGTCGTTGTTCCCTGTTACGCTACTGGCGAGATAACACATCTGGCTAAGAAAAGGCGATATTTATTGAATTTTCATAATATATATCTATATACATATGAATATACATACAAACTTAATTTCATAATAAAATTCCTTAAGATTTTACATGCGTTTTGTGTTGTGTTTTATTAGAGAGTCACTATTGGCTTATTAGCGGTCTGGGTGCCGTTGTAAAAAGCTATCTTAGCGCTAAGGTGACCGTAACTCCCATACCTTAACATAGACTTAAGGTAGTCTTAGCGATAAGGTTGTTTTGTACAACGGCACCCACGGCCCCGTACCACAAAGCGACGTTAACGCTAAGGTGATCGTAACTCGTGAACACAGGCGTTGGATCATAACGCTAAGATCGCGTAGTGGAACGGGGCCCTTAAGGTATTAGTGGGGTTTTATTTCTTGTTGGTAATTATATGATGTGATATACACTCCACACAAACAATTATACTTGGAAAACTGAAATACGGCACTACGTGCTTCTCTTTCAAGTTGCAGACGTTGGCGTTTGAATACCCTGAAGAAATACAAAATATCTCAACACTTGCACACACTACAGGATATAGGGTATGTTAAGCCTCTTAATGACGTTTTACATGTACAGATAAAACATGTTACCTTGGTGATTGACAGTATATAAAACAATGTAATCCTCCTAATATACTGGACAAAAAAGGTTAGGGATATTGGTATTTTATCATTGATATTTTATCAGTACGTTAATGAATAAATAGATTATTAGTCATAATTTCAAAATGTACATATATCATAACTATTTTTGTCCAGTATATATTGCAAACAAGTTCCAGATCACCTTTAATTGGCAACTGACAACTCCTTCAATGCCGAATACCGATTGTGTAAACTGGGGGCACTTGTCTTCAATGGCCCATCATTATCAGTGATGTGTTCATGAGAGACCTAAAGTTGTCACAACTGTCAATGCCAGGACTTAATTAAGTAGTCGCCAGTTTGGTTACTCATGTGAGAGTGATAGTGTTTTTAGACCTTCACATTCCACGTACGGTAACTGGAATCGTTTTAACGTTAGTTTTAACTAACTTGATTATTTGCTACATTAGAGATAATGACAGTCTTTATGTTTCCTGCCAAAGATACGAATAACGTTTGAACAAAACAAAGGTAAGCACTACACAACCTCATTAGAGCTGAACATCGTGGGAGTTTGTTCTTGGTTATTGCGTCCATTATTGTTCTTATGTTTCATTCGATTTTTATGTATTTTTCTTTTTACAGTATCCATTTCTGCCTCCGTCTCCCTTTTTATCCAAGATAATGACGCCTGTTATTTTTACCCATAAACACCAACATACATTAATCTTTTGAGAAAATATGAAGCTCATAAAATTTCAATCTATTCCTGATGATATTTGATACATGCCGTGAAAACAATGAGCGTAGTTGTACTTCCGCCAGTGGACTATTTACTGAGTTCACGTTGTAGCACGGAGAGGGACAGTTTTATTGAGATCACTTTGTAGCACGGAGAGGGACAGTTTTATTGAGATCACTTTACAGTACGACGCATTTACTGTTGTACTGAGATAACTTTGTAGTTTAGTACACTGAAAGTTGTACTGAGATCACTTTGTAGTTTAGTACACTGAACGTTGTACTGAGATCACTTTGTAGTTTAGTACACTGAACGTTGTAGGCATGTTGAGACCACTGTGTAGTTTAGTGCACTGAACGTTGGACTGAGATCACTCGGTGTAGTTTAGTACACTGAACGTTTTGTAGGCCGGCACATTCACTGTTGTACTTGGATCACTTTGAAGGACTGTACATTGGGTGTTTTTGAGATCACTATGTATGAGGGCATATATACTGTTGTATTGAGATCATTTTGTAGCACGGCATGTTGAATGTTTTACTGAAGACACTTTGTGGGAGGTCACATGGTGTACATGGATCGCTTTGAAGCATGGCAAATTGACTGTTGTATTGAGGTTGTTTTGTTGGACGGTACATTGACATGTTGTACAAAGATCGCTTTGTTGGATGGTGACAGTTGTACAAAGATTGCTTTGTTGGACGGGCACATTGACTGTTAAAAAATATCGCTTTGTTGGATGGTACATCGACTGTTGTACAAAGATCGCTTTGTTGGATGGTACATCGACTGTTGTACAAAGATCGCTCTGTTGGATGGTACATCGAATGTTGAACAAATATCGCTTTGTTGGACGGCACATTGACATTTGTACAAAGATCGCTTTGACGGACGATACAACTGATCGCTTTGTTGGATGGCACATTGACTTTGTTTTGTACAAAGATCGCTTTGACGGACGATACGACAGCTGTTGTACAAAGATCGCTGTTGTTGATGGTACATCGACTGTTGTACAAAGATCGCTTTGTTGACGGCACATTGACTTTGTACAAAGATCGATTTGTTGGATGGTACATCGACTGTTGTACAAACCGTCGCTTTGTTGGATGGCACATTGACTTTTGTACAAAGATCGCTTTGACGGGACGATACGACAACTGTTGTACAAAGATCGCTTTGTTGATGGTACATCGACTGTTGTACAACCGTCGCTTTGTTGGATGGCACATTGACTGTTGTACAAAGATCGCTTTGACGGACGATACGACAATTGTTGTACAAAGATCGCTTTGTTGGATGGTACATCGACTGTTGTACAAAGGAGGCTTCAAAGGGACTACATTGACTGTTGTTGGATGGTATATATTAGTTAAAGGACGCCATGATCGTTGTTTGTCGCAAAAGACGGATGTCGTTAGCGTTTCGACGCTGAAAAGACAGCGTTTAACATGACCAAATACTGCATCAGTAAGGAAGAAACCAATCGGTTAAGCATAATTCTTTAAACGCCTAGGAATAAAGCGAGAACCGTTGTATATCATAAATAGCACAGCCTTTGTTGGCTGACAACACACGTGTGTGTGTGCGTTAACTTTTCTTAGCGTTTGTGTAAGTGTATATAGGTCGAGAAAATTGAATATAGAGGTTGTTGTCAGTATTGATAAAGCACAAAGCGGATCCTGGAGTCGGCAATACAAACTTTGCCTACTGGTATATACACATGCAAAACATGTGTCCACACATCTCCAAAACTATGGGTTGTTTGCCAGCAATAGCACCACAGCTGATTTAAAAGACGACAGTACTTAAAATGAACTTTTCGTGACATTACAAAAAATAGACTTTCAGAAAATACACGGTGGCAAGTTTTTGGCATGCACGACGCAGGGGTGTCCTGTGGCAACATCGGTGCTAACTGTAACATTAACCAGCTTGACATTAACAGTCGAGTTGTGAGGAAGCTCGTATCCACAGGTGAAGAAAAGAATCTTCCAAGACCTGCAATAGTGAGTGTGAGGCCGAGTCTCCTCCAGTAGTCTGGCAGTATCATCAGGCGGAGGTTGCAGTCAGATAGGTACAGGCAGGGACGTCTGGCGTGGTGCAGGCTCCGAGAAAACCTGATGATGTGGCAAAGGTTTCATTGGTCGGATCAAGCTCGCTACATGTCATTCAGGGACATGGCGTCACCACAAGGATTCCTCTGGTGGTGGTGGCACAGTAATGGTGTGGGCCGCTGGTTTGATCTCACTACAGTACCTGGGATACTCAATAGTCAACGTTTTTAATAGGAAGTACTGAATACCACCGTCGTGCCACATTTTGATAACCATCCCCTTGCAAGTCGTAGGATATTCATCACCGACAACTACCAATTACAGAACAACCCTATCGTCAGGTTCGAGCTTGAGATCCTCCTGCTCACAATCTGAATTGACGCAGGTACTCTATGAGGAATGGCGAAGGATGCCAATGCTGGGATTCTGACGCGGATTGCCAGAATGAGAGGAGGAGACTGGCAGGTGTTATACATGTCAGGGGTGGCTACACCATACAATCATTATTTCAGAACTGTGAGACAATCAAATTGGCAGCGTTGTCATGGTGACAATACATTCCGGCATTGTTGGTATTCCTCTTAGATTGCAAGTAAATTGTTACCAAATGTCAATTTCAGCTGGTTTTTTCTTTGTTGTTGTTGTTGTTGTTGTTTTAATCAGAGTAAAATAGGTTACACCCACTAATACGTAGAGTTTGTTGTCAAAGCATACAACACACAACAACAAGTAGAGATTGTAGATTGTTTCACACCAAGAATGTGGGTGGTGTTTGATTTATGCTGATGTGTATATACAGGGCTTAAACTCGCGTGAGAGTGACGTTATTGTATTGCCCAATTATTTTATCCCTGTAATGCCTGACGAATGGGATAGAATCTCCAGTCAGAAGCTAGATCACAGAGCTATTTTGATTTGGACTCTTTGTTGAACACGCCCGCAGCATGGATACCTTGGTAAAGGGTGTTGATACTGGAGATCGATTTATTGAACTGTGACGGGCAAAGATCGCTTTGTGGTCTGAGGTTTAATTGTAGAAATATCGTTTGAACGAATATGCTATGACAAACTGTACACCTGGATACATTCTCTGGTTTCAGGGTGAAAGATATGCTCACAGATAATGCACGAATTATGCACTCTTGATTGATCGGTTTACAAAATGGGTTGGACTTGACTTAAAAAGAGACAATCGTGACGGCACTTTTTATGTTATCGCGTAAATCTATGTACTCGCAGCACACCTACCCCAGATCATGCGCCTTTGCTTCACGATTTAGAGAACTGTACACTCATGTAACGTTAGATATAACACGGACAATCCCGTATCCAGAAATACCTTGACCACATTTCATATCTAAGGGTCAAAGTTTGTATGTGAAGCATTGCTGTATGAGAGAGAAATCACACATGCACGTTATCTCCTATTACTGACTGGTACCCATCTATGTGCGACGAGAGCTATTTGAAAACTGCGCATGGTAAATAAAATTAAAAGTAAAAAGTCTCTTGAGGTTCAAATTTTGTAAAACCAATTGCAAATCGCTCTCTGAAGACGCCCTGTTCTTCCGGCATTTCGATATGAACTCGGCAATGCTCCGACTAAAGATTGAAACAATCTCATATCGGCACCCACCCAGACAATTATTGGAAACATGCTAGACAGACTTGGCATCAAGTGGATCACACACGTGCAACTG